CACTTTTATCAAAAATGACAAAAATATCACCAAAATTAGAGAATTAAAGATATCATTTCAAAATGAACAAATCTGAGAGAGGTCTACATGTAGTACCTATATATGTAATATCAAAGCAATTGCACTTGCGGTTTTTAACAAGAAGTCAAAAATATCACTTTTTACCAAAAATATTCACCAAAATTAGAGAATTGAAGATATCATCACAAAATGAACAAATCTGAGAGAGGTCTACCCAAGGTACATATACACCAAGTATCGTATCAAAGCATTCAGGCTTGTAGTTTTCAAGAAGAAGTCGAAAAAGTAAAACATTGACACGGACGACGACGATGGACAATCACTCGTATGATAAGCTCCGCTCGACAAAGTCAACAGCGGAGCTAAAAAAAGGCTGGTGACACCCAACTTTTTTTAGGTCAATATCCTTATATTGCCTTGGAGTACAATTTATTGCAAAATGAATAAATTCTGGGTTTTTTAATTTAGAGTAGGCTTCTACTTTAAGTTACAGGATGTATGATGTTGTTTCTACTTTGTTGCATTTTTATTTTATTAAACTTGATAATATTGAAATGCATTCTAATTTAGTTTAATGAAACTCCAATTAAATCACAATACCTCTATAGTGTTGTGTTTTAATCAAAAAATAATGCAACTATATTACCTGGTAAAAGTTAATTCAACTATATTGAAAGTTAATCCAACTAAGTCCTCGGAACATATAGCAATACAAGTATATGTGTATGTATGTTTGTGTGTGTATGGTTGTGTGTGAGTACTTGCATCACTAATTTTGCGAGGACAAAGCTATATATATATACCAACTTCCAAGAACATACACACCTTCCAAAAACCTTTTTCATAGTCTGTGGAAAACATAATTTATATTAATAGTTAATTCAACTTATTAAATGTTTTGCGTAGCTTAGGGTTAGTAAGGTACAGTCTGTATGTCAATATATTAATATTGATGAGGTCCTCAAACATATAGCAAAACAAGTATATGTGTGAGAGTATGTGTACTTGCAATACTAATGTTGTGACTGGACAAAAATACAGATATATACCAACTTTTTCGGAAAACATAATTTATATTAATAGTTAATTCAACTTATTAATATGTTTTGCGTAGGGTTAAGTCAAAGATCTTAAAATGGGTCTATGGGTCAGTAAAGAGGTAAGGTATGGTGCAAGTTTATTTTAATATTAATGGACTCCTTACCACATATAGCAATACAAGTATGTATGTGTGTGTGTGCGTGTGCTGGAGATCCAATGTTAAAGTTCAAGATACAACTTTACTTAATTGGAACAGATTTAAAGATCAATGTCAATTTTGATAATTGTACAACAATATAGAGTCACTATTCATTATTACATTTTAAACACCAAATTAGAAATGTAAAATTTTCTACACGGTTGTAATAAAGCTGTTATCTTATCTTATCTATACTTCTACAATAACATTAAAAATGCTCCAAAGTTGACAATACAAACTGACAGTGTTTCATACATACATTATTACACTTTTAATCATGAGCTTTCACTAAACGCTTTCCTATTGTTATAGCCTTCACACTAACAGCTATTATGTAACATTCACAGTAACACTATTGTTAACAAGCCACCTTTGTACTGAGTACACTTAGTCTTAGCCTGACGAGACACACACCTGACAGAACGATGTAGTTTTTCACTTTCCCTGACGATTTTTTGTTGATACCAATCAAATTGCAGGAATGTCAGATAGTGACATCCATCAAAGAGTTTATTTGTTTGTTGAAATAATATGATAAGTTGCTGGCTGGCAATGTTCATCATCTTGTTGAAAACAGTCTGTGATTTCTGCCGACAATGCAAACACGGCTTTGATTGAAGGTGTTTCAATGACCACCAAAATGAATATTCATTGGAAGGCATTAACTTTAAGAATTTGCAGTATTGATTTTGCCAAGGAGACATACACTATTCTATCAGGCATTAGTGAGATCTGATGTTGTTCGGCCGGCGAGGGCCGACTCACGGCTACATGTCAGGCTAGCTTAGTTTACGGAATATAACAATATGCAAAATTAAGCTTTATTAGATTGTACATAGAGCTTAGACACAGTATAGGTTCCACTGATGTAATCCTAGATCTTAGCTATATGTACTTTGCCATGGTAATGCCTACTGATGTGATAGCTCATTAACCATTAACAGATATCTACTGCACTGCATTTGTATCATCAGTCAGTTGTTCTGTTACTTCGATATTTACAAATAGCATCCCATATACGTACTCTAGCACCACCTCTGCAAAAAACAAAAACAATCAACAATTTTAAAACCTAATTGACTGCTTGATAGTTGTTAACAAAATCATGTTTGTTTTTTAGCTAGAAACCTAATTGTTATACATACTGGTAAGTGTCATGTGACAAGCTAGTTTTACAATATTCATTTGGCAGTCATGTGAGTGGTTAGTTTTACAATATTGATTAATCATGTGACAGGTTAGTTTTACCCCACTGTTGAGTGTCATGTGACAGGTTAGTATCATGTGACAGGTTAGTTTTACCCCACTGG